GGTTTTTTTTGGTTTGTACCTCTGCTTTAACAGCTCTTTTCACACACTCCTGGCAGTCATCTTGACTCTTTTTTATAAGCTCTTCCAATTTTACTTTCTCATTAGCAAATTTATTACTGTGAAATAAAAAGAAGTTAAATGTTTGAGTAACATTTCCAGCAGAGCAGTATTTAAAATTTATGCCATTTTAGAGGTTTTCTACAGCTACTCTCTCTACTCAGTATCATGTAATCAAGGGAAATATATGAGAGTATGATGAAAAGACAGATGTCCATTATTCTAAATATTAATATTTACTCAGGATAAGTAAATTAAACAAACTTAAGATTAAGAGATACAGGTTAAAGTGCTTATTTCTCCCTGAGCCTTTACCCAGAGTGAAGCAGAAAACTCCAATATTGACAAATCAGCAGAAAAAATGGAAATATTGCAGAAAAGTACAAGACTTTTTACCTGGTATCCAGAAATGTATTTAAATATCCATTATATTGCTTTTCCTTGTCATCAATGGTCTTCAAATACCTGCAGGAATGAAACATTTATTAAACTTGTGCTGATAAAGGTTCGTTGGCAAATGTGTAACAGGTTCCTCTGTGGCCACAATGACAACCTGTGTGCTTTAGATATTGTTGTATCTTAATATCTGTATATTTTAGATACTGTTTGATGCCATAAATATTACAGTGTTCCCACCCCTGGAAGTGTCCAAGGCCAGGTTTGGATCTTGGAGCAACCTGGGCTAGTGGAAGGTGTCCCTGCCCATGGCAGGGGCTTGGGAGTGGATGAGCTTTAAGGTCCCTCCCAACCCAAACCATTCCATGATTCTATCCTAAGGACATTTAAATATATTCCTAATAAATCAGCAACTAATATAAAAACCAGGCTGATGGATTTTTCCAGAGAAATTCTGCCCAAAGAGTAAAGATTAAACAACAGCACTGAAGGACCAAACTCCTCAGGGCTCTCTGACATCTTGACTTACCCAGCCAAGGGTTAGGTTTAGATATATAATAAGTGAAATATGTCTGTAAAAGTCAGAGATACCTGATGTCTTTCCAGTGTCAGACTGCTGTAAATCTGTGTCTAAAATCAGTACCTCTCATTGGTGTCTGTGTGTTTTTTGGCCGTGCTCCTCAGGGCTTTTAAGTTGTCTCGGTTCTCTTTTTTCTCCTGCTGCCATTTCTTCCCTTGTGCTTCCGAGTCCTGGTGAAACCAATCCAGTTCATTCTGGGAGACCTGAAAGCAGAAAACAAAGTTTCTTTTCTGAAAAACAGTGTTTTATTCAGATGCAAGGTCGAGCAGAA